AACCCCTATAATACTTCTCTATATAACCCCCTTTAAGAAGTCTGGACTTTGGCTTATATGACTTTCTGCGACATGACGTCTAGCCAACCTTCTGAGTTCACACAGCACCAGCAGACTTCGACGCCCGTTCTAGGAATAGACATGCGCAGGGATGTAAATCATGCCGTTTTGGGCACTCCTCTTCTACCCTAAACCCTAAGCCATAAACCCTAAACCTAAAACCTCATGCCACTTACTTCCTGGTTTGGGTACTGCCCCAAACCCTAGGCCTGACAGTAATGCATAGGCTAGTATGCCTGCTGTTACTTACAAGAGGGCAACATTGTAGGGTGCGGTAGGGTGCAGCATGATCCAAGCTATGGCGGATTACAGGGCTTGATGATTCGGACGTTGTGCAAATATGGAAATGCTACAAAACTTGTATGGCCCAAAAACTTACTACTCAGGTCACTTCTGTCAAACCGCGGAGAGAGTACCCTGCCATACCAACCTCTAGCGCGTAGTCCCGTTCTACAGGCATGCGCTTATTCATCGGCATCCTTAACCTTATAACCCCAATTATAAACCCCCAAACCCAAAATCCCAAAGCCCCAACCCTGACTCCAAACACGAAAGCCCTTAAATGTAAAACCTGAAACATTGAACCCGAAACCAGTAGCCCTAAATGCCGACTCCGAGGGCCTCAACCCAATTCTACGCTTTCTCGACACGAGTCAAGGCGTGCGTTCTTCGCTTCCTCGAAGCCAGCGTGGAAAAACCTTTCTCTGATGATTTTCAAGGGTGTAGGGTTTCCGGTTTGCGATGTAGGTGCATAGAGAGCTTTGTGCTCACGACATCTCGTGGCCTCCTCCTGGTATTAATCCACCTCCTTGTGTCGAACAGGTGCCCTAAGCCTATCAAAAGGCAAGGGCTACTTCTGATTAGGGGAAACGACCTCCCGTTAGGTTGCATGGCGCTGGGAACCTGAACCCCAAACCCTAGATTTAAACCCTATAGGTTTAGGGTTTAGAGCCTAACCCTGGCCCTAAACCCTAAACATAACATTACGTACATTACACAGGCCCATGCCGCAGATCCGTCTATCGCCCAAAAGCCTAACCTGTTTAGGGTTCTAGGAAATATGGTTTAGGAGTTACTGTTTAGGTTGGGTCCTCCCCGCACCCATTCAGAGTCTGAAGTAGGGGTTAGATTAAGGGCTATACATACACTCCCCCAAACTAACATGGAAACCCATATAGCCCCATTTTAGAGGGACTGTAGTCTTTATAGGGCCCCCTTTTTGGGTTTCCATGTTAGTTCCCAGGAGTGTAATTGTAATACTATCCAACGGCGGCAGTACCCAACCTAAACCCTTGTAAAGTACAGCCATCCTCTACAGGGCCCCTCTTGAAGGATTCCAAATGTTGTTTTAAGGTTTAGGGGTATAACCCCTTAAAATCCTAAGCCCTCAAACTTCTACTTCTCCCGATAACTCCTGGAAAGGTGTATGTATCATATTTATATATATATACACCTACGTTGAACCGTAAACCTTAAGCCGTGAAACCTCCTGAAGAATAGAGAGTTTGGAGGAAGACATGATCCACAGTCTAAACTCCGAGTATCCCGTTTAATTATCCCCATAATACTCCCCTGAATAATTCCATGAATAACCCCCTTTATGGAGCTTAGACCCTAAACCCTAAACCCCAAATTCCAAACCGTAAACGGACCACTGTTAGGGCCTGAGTGCCAGCGGCCACTTTTGGCCTCCGAAGGCATTACTTACCCAAAGTGCTCCCATGTGGGCTTAGGGTTTGGGGCTCCTATGTGGTAAGGGCTCCCATGTAATTCCATATTGGCTTCGCTGTGGCTGTTGGTAGGAGATCCCAATATATCAGCCAAAGAAAGCTAGAGAGCTGGGGAGAGGGTGAGTTAAGGACTAGGTGTGCATATTGGGAAACAGTAGTGTTCTCTAAAAAAATTGCACTCCCTACGTTGCTTATGGAAAGAAACTGGATCATGAAGCTGAGGGTTTACAAGGGCATAGAATAGGGCTCAGGATTCAGGGGCTTACTAGTAGTTTGCAGGGAATGGGGATTGGGAGGGGTTGGGGTTTAGGGTTTCAGGCGGCTGCCAGTCCGTACCCATCCTATCCCTTCCCTCAACCACCTTTAATTTGATGGTCGGAGGTTCAAAGTGGGTCCCTGTACAATTGCAATCTGGATTCCGCCACAACTTCATATCCCTGGGTTGGCCCCTCAAACCCTTTGAAAAATACTAATATATAGGGTCCCCTATTAAAGCCATTAGGGAAAATATTAAATATCCCAGGGCCCTACCCAGTGCACCACTTCTATTTACCCATGGGGGCCTGAAATCATCAAGTGCAGGGAGATGAGATCACGTCAAGTGATGGGGGAGTCACGGAGGCGATGAAAGGAGCAAAGCTTTCTTGAACTCAGGTGTCCAGTAATTACATCAGGTTTTGTAAGCTGAACATATGATTGATATTGCGATTGTCACCGAAGGGCTGAGGCTACCCAACTGGGTAGGGAAGTGGATAAAAAACAATGCATTTGGATCCTCATCAGAAGCCCCGACACTAAACGCTACCGCTAGTATGACAATTGAGCATGACATGTCAGTGCCACAGCCAAACACATGCAAGTTCCCACAGCAATGTTTCTATGTGGAAGTCATTCGCAAACATTGGCTTTCAATCCTGCCTGAACTTGCCGCACTTGCTGCAGAGTTAAACCTCACATGGGGAGGTCATACGCTCGCGGGCATCTGAATCCAAAAACAGGCATGCAAGCAGCACCTGACATGGTTGACATCAGTGAATGAAACACAGAACTGGGCTGCTCTCATGTGGCGGCGCATAACAGAAGAAACTCATTCTGTGCTATTCTTGATTCGGTGAACTGAGAAAGTTCGTGTCGAAAAACAGGAACCATTCTCTGGTATAACTATACCAAGGGTTTAGGCTTTAGGGTATCACCCTTCGTCTTGAGCAATGAGCTCGCACGAGACTATGGGCATATCAGTTACATGAGATTTCCCGGCTGACGAAGCTCAATAACAATGGTCCTTCTTCGGAGATCCCTAACCCCCAACCCCCCATGAAGCTAACAAAGTCTTTTAAAAATGATCCGAACTGCTGAGTTTCCTAGCCCACAAGAAGTCTACTCTTTTCCTGATAATAGGTATAGGAATCCAGAAGCGTGAAGTATACCCACCCGGCTAATAAGATCCTGGGCTATCGTGCGACTCTTATAGGGTCCTGATTTCAAGGGCTGGGGCCACTAAATCCCCTTATTAACTTCCAGGAAAGGAAGCGTGATAGCGGAGGGCGCGCTGCCCTCACGAAGCGCCATAACAGCAGAGGCAGCCAGCGCCCA